CCAATTCATTTCGAAGAAGAAGAAGAAGAAGAAGAAGAAGACATGACATACATTATATTGCAGAATTGTAGATAAATTGTAGACTGTTGTTTATTTATTTTTGAGCTTTGTGTTTTTGTGTTAAAAGTTTTGATGGGAGCTTGTTATTCCACTTCGTCTGTTTTGGAGTTAACTTGTACAAAGGAGAAGATGTTTTTTAAGTTATACATATTGTTATACCTTTAAATTCAAGAAAGTATGGTTGTATTGTATTTAAAGAGGTGTAAATTTGTAGAATAGGTTGAATGTGAGGAATGAGTCAAATAAGACTCACAATGGATTATTTGCTACATTTAATATACAACAAAACTACATATCATTTGAAAAATTAATATGAAAATACAGAATTTCAATGTTTCTATAAATTATCTACAAAATTTCTTAGGAAGATCTATCCCTTCATCATGTTTTTTTGGATTTCATATTTAGCATAGCAGTTTCATAAGGAGTAACAAGAGCATATAGGAGAATCACAGAATTGTAATCGGGATTTTCGACATAATTGCGTTTTTTACAGAAGATTTGTAGAAGTTTAATCGTTTTTGATTTGTGAAAACAGAAAACAAAGCATCTACAATCAGAGTATAAATAATCTACAATTTATCTACAAAATATCTGAAAACTGGGTACATTGAATTTTAATATCCCAATTCCCATTCAATTGTAGCATAATTGGGATTTTCGACATAATTGCATTTTTTGCAGAAGATTTGTAGAAGTTTTAGTCGTTTTTGATTTGTGAAAACAGAAAACAAAGCATCTACAATCAGAATACAAATAATCTACAATTTATCTACAAAATATCTACAAACTTCGTACATTGAATTTTAATATCCCAATTCCCATTCAATTATAGCATAATTGAGATTTTTGACATAATTGCGGTTTTCAGAAGATTTGTAGAAGTTTTAGTCGTTTTTATTTGTGAAAACAGAAAATAAAGCATCTACAATCAGAATACAAATAATCTACAATTTATCTACAAAATATCTACAAACTGGGTACATATTTAAACTCGACATGTTTCCCCTGAAATGTATGTTTTACATTTTTTATACATATTTTTGTCCAAAACAGTACTAAATCGTCCACTTAAATACAATTTTTATACAATGTTGTTCAACTTTCATACAATAGGTAAATGAATAAAAGGAAAATAAATAAACTGTCTACAATTTTTCTACAATTTCTGCAATATAATGTATGTCATGTCTTCTTCTTCTTCTTCTTCGAGTTTCAATCTGAAATCCAGTCAAAACCAAGTCTAATCTTCACCAAAACCTCTCAAAATTGAGATATAAACTCCAAACCGTATTCCCAATTATTTTCAACAACACCCAATCCAAACAAATAATGATTTTTTAAAACCCAAATTTGAATTCAAAGCTTCAAAGTTTTTTAATGGCTGTCAATGGTAGAATTGCTGCTCTCTTTTCCTTTGCTTTGTATTTTCGCCATAATTGCTTTTGTTGTAGAAGAATTGTAGAAGATTTTTTCGATTTTGATTTGTGAAATCAGAGAAAATATTGAAACAAAGTTTATCGCAAAAAAACAGAGTACGGAAATTTTGTAACGAAGTCGACGATAGTGATTACTGTGCGTGATTGCATTGAAAGATCTGAAAAATATTTAATTCCCCTTTTTAGCGCGCCTAAATAAAGAATCTTACAGCTATAATGATTCCTTATTTAATGCATTGTATATATTATGTAGAAATACTATTAGCATGAAGGTAATATGCAAACTATGAACATATTTGGTAATAAGGTTTCCTATATGGTATAGGAACGAAATTTAATCAAATTCAGTAGAAATGACACCAGGTAGTCACTCTAAAGGACTGCTATTTAAGAATTAGTCAGTGCACTCTGAATTTCAGTTTTTCAATTCAAATTTTAGAACAAAATGTTCTGAATTGTCCTAAAATTAGAATTTTTTGTTTAAAAATTCAAAATAAAATAAGTACTGACTAATTTCTAAATAGCATCCCTAAAAATGACTACACGTGTGCACTTCCAATTCATCAGGAGGTCTTATTCTGCCCAATTAACTATTTGAAAATGGAGATTGCCCAGTCCTCGTATCAGAAAGAGTTTAGACCCAACTTATCCCCTTTTGTTTAAATGTACATAATAATTACCTAAATTTAAGAGAGTGTTATATAATTACCCCTGAACTTGTCCCTTTTAGTCAAATGACACACGTAAAATTTGTGGAAGTCTTATAAACACCCAGACTTGTCCAAATATGTTTTTCTATTTTCTAAAAATATTGGTTTAATAACTTGTATATAAATTTTTAGTTGTAAAAACGAAGAAAGTAATGTCTAAATTTACATACAAAATAGATTTTGCTTTCATAATACTTCAAACTTTGACATTTCTGGGGAAGGGTAATTTTTTATAAAGGCTTATGATTATTTCTAATGGTCTTGATAATCAGCTTTTCATGATTTCATCTTTTAATCTCTTTCATGTACGCCTGCTTTCTTGCCGAAAGGGGTTGATTTGGTTAGTTAAAGGCCACATTTCTTGGTTTCTATTTTGAAAAGTATCACATCTATAATCACTTAATTAAAATAGCGACCCGAATTTTAAATAGACTTGACTTATCTATAGTTAAGATAGAATTTTCACACACCTAATTTGGTTAGTTAAAAACCTCAATCCTTGGTTTCTCTTGTCAAACAACACTATGTTCTCCTATTGCTGCAGCTACCCAATTTTCAAATAGACCACGAACTCGTTTGAAGGCGGGGCATATATTGGGTATAACCGATAGTTCGAACCGATAAAATAATCTTGGGTTATCGATATTGGGTCATTGGTTAAATAACTCAGTAATAGTTTAATGTTATTTGATTACTAGGTTATCGATTCGGGCCTCGATTTTATCCAATTTTAATAACGGTTTAACCAATAACCTAATAAGCTATATCAAAATTATAATTTTACCCATTAAGTATATAAAACCACCTTATGGATTTATTCTCTCATTCTCTCAATTCTCTCAGCAATTATTTTTCATCTTCAGACCTTAATCTTTAGAGTAAGTATTAAACTTTTCTGAATTTTTCATCTTAATTCTTCAGTTAAGATTTTAGTTTTAAACTTTAAAAATTAATTGTTCAGATTGTTTTTTTTCTATTTAATTTTTTTGGCACTGATTCTTTAGCATTTACAAGATTAGAATTTTATTATTTTTCAATGAAATATGACCCCTCCC